GCCCCGTGGAGCGCATGGCCAGTGAGAGGGCCCCGTGGAGCGGATGGCCAGTGACAGGGCCCCGTGGAGCGGATGGCCAGTGAGAGGGCCCCGTGGAGCGGATGGCCAGTGAGAGGGCCCCGTAGAGCGGATGGCCAGTGAGAGGCCCCCGTGGAGCCGATGGCCAGTGAGAGTGCCCCGTAGAGCGGATGGCCAGTGACAGGGTCCCGTGCAGCATTGGCAGATACTATAGGCCCCTCTCATTCTATGCTCTGTTCTACTTGAAACAGGGAAATCTGCAAACTGTGTTGCAGGCTGGCCCTCCAGAACCAGAACTGGGCAACCCTGACATATTGTTTGTGTAGATGGTTGGAGACTATTTAACACAAGCTGAGTGTAGTGGCCTGTCTGCGGGCCACAGCATTTGATTTCTTTGGGTTTCAAAGGGGGTGTTTCTATAGGCTCAGGGATATCGCTTCCGGTTTTAATGATTCACCTCTACAGGTACCGGGGAACACATCTGAACAAGGGGTACCCATTAGCGGGGGGGCAGAAAGTCAAGTTCACTTCTTTGTTTGCTTTTGAAAAACTCAGATATACCCACCAAGGCCCTTATGGTCTCGTGTTGCAGATTTGGCTAATGTAACATTAAATACACAGTCTAAAAATACAGTTGATTGGTAGATTTCAAATCACAACACTCAGTGAGTAATCCATATCATTTGTCTCGCCTAAAAATGACATTTAAAAAAAAAAACCGCTGTAATTCAGTTTCTTATTAAAGAAGTTTTATTGGTTTGCATAAAGTTGTGCGTAGGTGAGCTGTTCATCACAGCATTCTAAATGATGCTCCCCCCGGTTCCAGGGTCCATGCACATCAGTGCTTAAACGGCCTTGATGAATTTTTTGGCATCTGTCTCGAAACTCCTTTGGGCCAGTTGTTTGTTTTCCACCGATAAATGCAGCGCACTCTCAGCCGCACATTCTCAGGGTCTGCTGCCACCTAGTGATGCACAGCCTCATATTTTCTCTGAGAATAGCGGCTGGGAGACGTCTGTCTGGTGTGTGTCTGTGAAGATGTAATCTTGTGTATTTCCCTTGCTAATTAAATGGGCTGTGACTTAGTGCCATTTACGCGGTAACAGCTATGTCTTCCTGTGACACATGGATGATGTCACCCAAAGTCTGTATCTCCAGTGCCTCTTCAGAGAGCAGACAGGAATGCCCTGAGCTCACATTGTGGAGGTCTCTATGGACAGACGGTGTCCAGGCTTCACTCTGAGTTTGGCTGTAGGGCAGGTGGAACATCTCAGGGAGGTGTGGTAAAACTCCAAAAATAACAACCCCCCCCAACCCACAAAGCATGTTCTAGAGAGCATAATCCTCCTCCAGGTTAACTGTCTGTTTATTATTTTAAAATATATCCCACCTAAGAAGCTTATTGATAATTGGCTTTTGAAGGTAGAGTGCTATTACGGGGATTTTCACAAAGCTGCAATTAGAATGGCTATAATTAAAATTACTGAATATTTATGTTAATATTTCTTTTTCCTTATTTTGAAAACCATCAGCACCAGGTTATTGCTGGCACTGTTGTATGAGTGAGCAGTGGTGCGTGAAAGAAAGCCAGCTGAATGTTCTAGAAAATACAGAAGCCAGTCTATATCCGGTTGACAATAAGCATCTGTGCCAGTAGAGGGTGCTGTACTGCCATCTGCCTGACCAGTAGGGTTCCTTGGCTTGTACTTGACCACCTTCCAACACCAAGCCTGTCTGCTCGCCACAGCAAATGCATATGTATCAGTATTTAAGTTATTTTTATTGTCTATAGCCCTTCAGCATCTGAATGCTGCGGTGTGGGCATATATATGCTCCACCCCCTATCTGTTGGCTTTTCGGTGTGATGTTTAGCCCTGGTGCTGTAGAGTGTGCCCCGCGTGGGCTCAGGCGGGTAGGGTACCTGGCTGGCTTTTCTCCTTTAGCTATTGGGAAATGGGGCTGTGGCGCTCGCCGCTTTCCTGCCTTCTGCTGTTACCATGGCAACGGAGCAAAGGAGCAGAACGTGGAGGGCTGACGTTTTGTGGCCTATTTGCTGTTGCCTTGAGAGCTATAACCCCCCTTGAGGGTCTCCGGCAGAAGGAGCAAAGAAATGAACATGAATGATGCATGAAGGGGATCAGATGACTTAGAGGAGTCATGAGAAGTCGTCACGACTGTGCCATACCTGCGGCTTCGTGTTGTCAGTGTTCCTCCTTCATTTTAAATGCACAAGCTTTCATTTGCTCAGAGACCTGCTGGTACATTATATGGTGCAGCTTAAGGACAGATTCACTGGTTTTATGCAAAAAGGAAAAATTCTGATGGATTAGTTTCCATGCTGAAGTACTGGTGGGGTTATTCAGTCTGAATATATAGACTAGTTGTTGAGTGTGGTAATAGCTCTCTGTTCCTGCAGTATCCTATTGTCATTGAAATGTCACGTCTGTGTGGCCATTCATGACCCGGTGGTCACCCATAGTCACATGAGGGGGAGGTTAGGGGACGATAGGGGACCCAGCTGTCAGTTTGACATGAAGTCTGTCACCAAACACAAAGGAGAAGATGGTTTCAGTGGTAGCACATTTTCTTGCTTTGGTTTCTTGTGTGCCTTGTGTGTGGGAGGGGGGGGGGCTCCTCCCCTGCTGCTAACCCCACTGCAGGTAAGATTGTCTGTCGTCGTGGTGACCAAATCAACTGCAGGATGTGCTTCTGTGTAACTGGACCTCCAGGATTATTGTCATTTTCTTGTGATGCAGCATTGCACCCGTCACAGCCAGGGCCTGCTTTACAGCCCCTCTGGCAGGCACTATAATCTCCCTCCTTCCTTATTTGCATTGCTAATGAGCCGTTAAAATAAGCCGCGTGGAAGGCAGGTACAGGAGAAGAGAAATCCTTCTCGTTCTCTCTGCTCATCAGCCTGTTTCCTTCTGAAGGGATTGCAAACATAGACTAATACCTCAGTCTGGAATGCTTCATCTGCAGTCTGCTGGGGCTCAGTACTGGAAATGTTCTTATACTGCCCTGTCAGTACACTTAATTAGGCTGTTAGAGTAACTTACTCGCTGCTTTGCATTAATAGTACATAGCATTAATAGTATGTATTCGTCGTGTGCAATTCCATTGTATCATTTTCGATTCAGAATATAAAACGAATGTAGATGTTCATCACAGAGAACATGATGCTATTTCTGGCTGTGAGTCGGTTTCAGCTAGTGCTGAAGAGCTCAAAGACCCTCCCACGTTACTTAAATTGCAATTTTGGTTTCCCAATAAATGACACCAACACTGGAGAGAGTATTTCAGAAGACAAAGACTGTCGGTTCTGTTATACTGAACTTAGATATCTTGCTGGAAACACATCCGACCTGCTCATTTGAGGTGACATTATCCAGGTGTGTCTACGAACAGCGCAAGTCAGGAACAGCTTCTGCAAGTTTGTCTTCTGGAGGAATTTAAGGCACTTTTGCTGGGAAATTCAGACCGGCCTAAAAAATAACTGCAGGTTATAGGGGTGTTTAACTCTAGAGATATGTAGCCATACATGGTAGAGAACATGGGATTTGGTGCATTATGATCAGGATGCAATAATATTTTTATGAATTTTTATTAATTTTTACATGTTTGTTTTTAGCATGAAAACTAATGTCTCTTAGGTTTTGTTATTCAGACACATAGACAGACTTTGGTGTATGGCTTCCTAATCGTGTTTGTACTTAATAATAATTTCAAGAAAACCTTTGTTTCCCCTCTGTACCGAAATTGCACTGAACTGTAAGCACAAAATATAGATCTCCACCAAATCATGAATTTTGTGTACTTCTCCACACCTGTATGATACAATATAGTTTTTAAAATTAACATTATAACACTAACATTATTAATGTTGATTAAAAACCCCTCCCCCTCCCTTTCTGGGCCCATCCTCTCCTGCTTGGATGTAGTTGTCATGGCATAATTAAATTATGAGATAAGTGCCTATGGAAGATGGATGGGTAAACAGATGCCTGATGTAAACTTGAAACATGCTGAGGAATGAAGTCACTGGTATTGCCTCAGGGCCTAGCTGCAATTATGAAAACTGTTAAGTGCCCAGTTTGCCTGCTTACAGTTATGTGGTATGGCAGCGGGACTTGCAGAAGTGATTGGAGCAGACAGCTGTCTGTTTCTGATAGGCTGCCAGCACGTTACCTGGGTGTGGTCTCCAGATCAGAACAGCACACGCAGTCAGGTGACAGCTTATGAGAGTCCCAGTCCGCCAGAGTGTCTCTGCTGAGTCATTCCTGGTCAGGGCAGCCCCACCTGTATGGGACTGGCAGTGATGTCACCCTGTACCTCTTTGTGCTGGTCACCTGACCACAGCTGTCCCGCCTTCAATGAACAAGTTAGGCTCTGATGTGAGGCATGGCCACACCCTCCATCTGGGGAGAGCAATAATGTCCTTATTTACTTCCTTTGTGTTTATTTTTATTTTACATTTTTGGAGATAATGAAAGAGAACATTCACTTGTCGAGCAGATGTGGGGCATTCTGGGGGAAATGCCAGCATTGCGATGACTATCACCAGCATGGTGTGTGGTATGCATTTTGTTGATGTGATACGCCACTCCCAATAACATGCTTGTGAATGTCACTGGGTGAACCGGACATGATGGAAATTCTGGCATTGAAAAGGGAGAGAAACAAAACCAGCACAGCAGTGATCTGCACAGTGCATGATGCTGGTTAACCCTGTGCTGGCTGTGCCACCTCCCGTCGATATGTCAGTTGAACAAAGGGGTGGGGTCTGGAATGCTCATACAAAAGGGTGCCCAGACGCCACCCCTCCAAAGCCCTTCCCATCGCACGCCTGATTTGCTGCAGTGCCGACTGCAGTGTTTACAATCTGCTCCCCCCTCCCCGCACCGCTATGGCTTGGCGGCTCTCGCTTTGCTGTACAGCATCATCATCGTATAGCTCCGCCTCCACTTTCCCCCCCCCACCCCCGCCTCCCCTCAGCCATTCATGTGCTGGGATGCCTGAGTGAGAGTCTGTTCGCTGCAGCAGAACCTTCGGAGAAAACAGGAAAACACCCGTGCTCCAGCATGCAGGCCAGCGCCGAGCCCACCAAGGAGTGCCTCTGGAGCGGCTGGAAGTGTCAGGGTATGGAAGCGCCCTCGCGCTGCTGCGTTCGTGTGTGCGGGGGTCTGCGGGGGCCTTCTGCCAGGCCTGCATGCGAGCTCTCCTGTAGCAGACAAAGGGAGCGAGGGGTCGGCTTGTCGTGTCGCTATGTATGTCTAGGTGGCGTGAGCTGGCTGTGGATGGTGTGTTTCTTTGAAAACGCTGCATCCTGCTGCGAGTGCTTGTACCTGTAAAATGGCTCGGGTTCAGTGTCAGTATGTGGGTCTCTATGCCAGATAGGCATTAGCATAAAATGGTGCTAGTACGTGTGAGCAGGTCTGGGCAGGAGGAGGACATAGCTAATATTGTTGTCGTAACCCCTCCCCCTCCCTTTCTGGGCCCATCCTCTCCTGCTTGGATGTAGTTGTCATGGCATCAGGAAAGTCAGTGGGTGCTGTGTTGGGATGTAGATTTCACTGAGGCGCCCACATTTGCGTGCTCACTGTCATGCCATCGAGGTTTTAGCTACCGTTCTGGGCCGCGATTGCCACAGCGTCGTGCATACATCCGCACTGTGATATTGTTGTCATGGCTTCGTGGCTTTATCTAGGTTCTGGGGAGGCTGTTGTCATGGTATCAGGCACACAGTGCTGGGATGTGGTTGCCATGACAGCCAGGCTGGAACTGGGTGCTGTCTGTGGTCTTGAGCAGGAGGGAAATGGTAGCTCAAGCTCCTGTGTTGGACACACCCATGCTGACTCCCCCCTAGGCATGAATGCATAATTCTTGATTATTACTGCCTATTTTTTTGCAAAGGCAGTATAAATGATTTACACGCATGTCTGGGAGAGCAGCAGGGCAGGAGAGAAAAGGCTGATGTCATGCAGCTTTTCCCCGACGACCTGCCTTTGTGTCTGCCCGTCATATTGATCATCGGCGGATATGGCTGCCATCCACGTGTGGCGGGGTGTGGCCGTCTTTCTCTCTGGGGAAGTGCGCACGGCCGAGTCGCCATTGTCCTGCTGGCGGGGGAGGGGGCGGCAGAGATGAGGCGGCAGGGAATGGGGAGCCGCACAGAACACGCCACATGCTGTGATTGGCTCCCCAGAATGCTCCAGAAGGAATCCGTGGCTGCTGTGGGCACGAGCGTGATCCATCTAGCGGTGTCGTTATTGCCTTTGTGTTGCCGCTTCCCGTTTCCGTCTCCTCTTCGCTGCCTTTTACAGTGACGAACACGGTGTGAGTAATTAGCCTGATCCAGCTTCACTCTGCCTTTCTTCTGCTCCTGTTAGCCCACCTTGTGCTAAATGCATGTGTCATAGCAGCCATCAGATCAGGTGGGGAGTGAGGGCTCCTCTTTCAGGACAATGGTGGGCGTGCAATGGTCAGCTCTCTTGACCCCCTTTTTGCATGGGGGGGAGATTTTAGGAGTGAAACATTGTAGCCCCGCATGTAGGTATTATTTGTCATTCCTGTCTATGATAACATGCTACAGGAAGACAAGCTGGGTGTGTCTATATCCTGCTTCTATTGGTTATCCAGTCATGGTTGGCACCCCTCCCATGTTTACTGTGGTAACCTTAGTGGGCTTCTGGTGTCATCTTGAACAGTCCAGCCAAAAACAGACCTTCTGGTTGGACAGCAGCTCAGACTCGAGTGAGTCCACCATCATTCAGGCATTTTTCACTTCTCATTGAAGTTCCTTCCTTCCCAGCTGAAGAGGATTGCAAATATACACACATGGTCCTTCCGACGTTTTAAACGACATGTTCACCCTGCCACGTGAATCAAAGCATCTACAGCAGGGGTGTCAAACTCCAGTCCTGGGGGGCCGGAGCCCTGCACATTTTTGGGTTTCCCCTCATTTAACACACCTGATTCAACTCCTTGCATCTCCTTGTGCTAATTACCACACAGCTCTTGAGCTGAATTGTTTGTGGTGGAACCGGGAAAGACCTAAGCTACACAGGGCTCCGGCCCCCCAGGACTGGAGTTTGACACCCCTGGTCTACAGCGTTTGCAGTCCTGTCTGCTGTTGAACTTTGTTTAGAGTCCTTGATCAGGGCTCAATCGGAACAGTAAAAGGAATTTCCTGTGGCCTCGTACAGTTTCCTGCATTCCTTCAGTTTAGGCCCAGGTGACTAATCTCTGTGCTATTCTTATGGAGTCAGAATAGTGCCATATATACTTGTATGTGTACTTTCCAATTTGCACCCGTAAAATGAAATTTGCTCGCACTGAACACAATTTTCATTCGCAAAATACTGAACAGAAATACGCGTCACATGATCTGTACTTGTATATGAAGATTTGTGAATGAACGTGAAAAACATTTTGCAAATACACGTCAATATTTTTTGTAAATGCGAAACCAAACATCTTCATAAAAATATTTTTTACAAAGATAGAATGGTTTTCAAGTACAAAACCTGTATTGCAAATCCAAGTCTTCTTGCAAATACCAAACTGTGAGTGCAAATTCAAACTTGCACACATAAATAATTTTGGCACTAACTTGCCTAGCGCTTTGCATATAAATATTTGCTCGCATAACCGCCAATCAAATTGATTCATTTTCTAGCCAATCATAAAACCACTGGTGTCCTGCATAATACCATAACCATACTACTGGATAATTACTGTATCATGAATTACTTGTTTTATGTGTTCATGTAACTTAGAACTTAGAATAAAATACTACAGCACTCCTTTTAATAACACATCTATTCATTATTATTAGATTAGCCCATGTTTTTGCTCCCCCACAAGGTCCCTGTCAAACAGTCCACATTTTTGCTCCCTCCCAGCTCCCGATTGGCTCTCTCTTGTGGTTGGCCTCTGTGTGACTCTACTGAAGACCACATTGTGTGCAGGATAAGCAAAAACATACCGTACATGGCTGTTCCTATACAGGTTCTCTTCCCAAGTGCTGAGGTCCACATCCATTTCTGTGGCTGGCACCTCCACCCAGAGATCAGTATGTGTAGTAATGCCCGTCCTTTCTGGCGGTCAGATAAGGGCCCAGAGGGAGCTGTGTGCTTCCTGGAGCAGGCCCCTGTGGGGCGGGACCACTGAGCCCCTTCCTCATTCCCGCCCCCCGCCTGGGACACCTCGTCCAGCACTCTCCTTTGTCTGAGAAGCCAGCAGCTGCTTATTCCCCTCCTGAGCCATGAGAGCCGCAGGTCAGTACGAGCTCCACCGGCAGCTTGAGCGCTAGCTAGCGGTCGATAGGCCAGCCAGGGCGTGGACGTGATATGTGTGTCTGTTTCTTCTGTCCCCTCCGTGCTGGGCCTGCTGTCCCAGTAGAGAGGGCACCATGGGAAAGAGAGTCGTTCTCTTTGTTGGGTGCCGTGCTCCGTCACCAAAATTAGCGCGGGCAGTTCGAACTAGGCAGCCGGCCGATCGCTTTCCTCTCTGCTCGAAAGAGCCCATCCCCTTAGACACGTGGGCGATCCACCATGCGCAATGTAGCCATTAGCAAGGACTTTCAGCTATTGTTGCTGTTACGTTTATTCATTTAACAGATAATGTTAGTGTTGTGCTCTGTGTCAGCATTTCGGTTATTGTTAGTCCTCCCAGTAACAGCTGTTCCGTCGGTATTAGCATTCCAGTTATTGTTAGCCTGCCTGGTAACATTAGCTGCTCAGTCAGTATTAGCGTTCCAGTTATTGTTAGCCTGACCAGTAACATTAGATGTCAGTATTAGCGTTTAAGTTAGTATTAGCTGTTCTGTTAAATTAGTTATCTAGTTAGCTTAGGCACAGCTACCTTTCACTGCATCAGCAGGGTGTGGTTGTGCTTGACAGGATTTCCTTTGACGATCACTGAAATGGGAAGTTATTACATTTGGGTTAATTTGGAGTCAACTTGTCTGGTTCTTGTTTACAGCCCATGGCATTCTTTAACAAGAGACTAACACGATTGCAAATTGAAGGGTGAGATCCCACCATTAGTGAAGCAATTAAAATGTAGGAATTGTACCCTGCATCTTGGGAGCTAATTTTCCCGCAGTGTATAAAAGAAAGTGTTTCCCATGTGACAAGTTTACACAGCTGGGATTTGAGCCACGACGCCAGTCTATGACCTTCAGTGACCCATGTGCAGTGCGGCAGTCTGAGAAATCTTATCAGTCATATTGAGTCAGGATTGGTGGTGGAAATAGGAGACCTCCTTCATTACATTCTGCTGGGTCCCTCTGTCCCGTCCTCCTGAGTTTTTAAGCTCCTTATTTGATGACGGCAGTGGGTCTCATTTTAAAAAACCAATCTCAGTTTGGACTGGGGTGGTGTTTCACAGTTAAAAACATTAGATGATCTTGTATGAATTAAGACAGGGACCTCGCAGGGAGTTAAGTTGTGAACTTTCTGCCATGGAGCAGGAAGCAAAAACATGGACTGTCTCGGGGTCCCCAAGGAGCGGGTTGGGAGACATTTAACAGCAGGACCGTCTTAAGGAGACTGTGGCATTTACAGAGTGACGTGTCCCCTCTCTCAGCCATGGACCTGCTGTATTGGCGGGACGTGAAGCAGACGGCCGTGCTGTTTGCCAGCGTACTGCTCCTGCTCTTCTCGCTCACGCAGTTCAGCGTCGTCAGCGTCATGGCCTACATGGCCCTGGCCGCCCTCTCCGCCACCATCAGCTTCAGGGTCTACAAGTGCGTCCTGCAGGCTGTGCAGAAGACCGACGAGGGACACCCCTTCAAGTGAGTCCGTCAGTGCTTCCATTAAACGTCTATACGTACGTGCGTGATTAACAGCTGTGTTCATGGTATGAGTCTCTGTGCCGTCCGTCTCTGCGTCCTGTGGCAGGTCCTACCTGGAGACAGAGATCGCCTTGTCCCAGGATCAGATCCAGAAGTATACTGATTGCACCCAGCTGTACATGAATAGTGCCATGAAGGAACTACGCAGGCTGTTCCTGGTGCAGGACCTGGTAGACTCACTCAAGGTCAGAGGGCTGAGCCCAACTGTCAGGGGATGTACTATGGAAGGTCCCAGCTGTGAAGACCACACCCACGGGGCAGCAGACTGTAGTTGATATGAAAGATAGGCTGAGCATTGCAGCATCACCAGTAGCACTACCTCAAATTTTGCTCCCTATTCACATACTCTGTTCTCTTTTCCAGTTTGCTGTGCTGATGTGGTTGCTGACATATGTGGGGGCGCTCTTCAACGGCCTAACACTGCTCATCCTGGGTGAGAATGCCCCCCCCCACCACATAGTGTATTGTCAATGGACCCTTTTCACACTTCTGGGTTTTGCGTAACAGAAGTTGTCTTAGTGGGATGAGAACAACAGCTGCAAATAGGACATATGCAGCCCATAACTTATCTGTAAACGCAGATAATATAAGATCACAAATTTTAAAATCACGATTTAATTCTCGATTCTAATGAACTTCAAGCTTATGGGGCTCCTCTCTTTCTCATTGATCTGTAGCACCTCGCTCTGATTACAACCTGCCTGTTTACAACACTGGGCACTCCAGAAAAAAACAAAAACATTAAATTTAGTCATTAAAATGTAAAAACAATGTTGAATGACACAGATCTGTCACCACCTATCAGCAATATGACAGATAGGCAAGTCGTCATTTACCTTCTTGGTCATAGAGGAAATTCTCAAAAACAAGATAAGTTTGTAGCCCTTGTCAAGCTTTGTCCTTGGGGTGATGGAGAACTGGTCCACCAAACGAATTACGTCTTTCATGGGAAAATCAGGCAAGTATTGTAATGATGCTGAAAAATACGATACGAAGATTAATTCTCGTCAGTGTATGATCCTGCTTCCATCTTTCTTCAGTTCCCTACTATGATGACTTCCATTACGTGAAACAGTGTGAAAAGGCTCTATTGATATGATGGGAATGTCACACAAGTTAATGGGAAGCTCCTGACTCTCAGGGCTTCGTCAGTGCTGAAAAAAGCTCAGCCAGTAAGAGCTGAATGCAACATCCTCTTTGTGCTCTGTCCCCAGTGGTCATATCCATGTTCACCATGCCTGTGGTCTATGAGAAGTACCAGGTAGGAGCTTCAGGTTCCATCTTGCTTTCTACCTAGAGCCATTCTGGAGATGTACGAGGGTCATCTCACATCTGTCTCCTCCCTACAGGCTCAGATTGACCAGTACCTGGGGCTAATAAGGACCCACGTCAACTCCGTGGTAGGAAAGTAAGTGATTATCAGTCTTCTGTGGGCACTGTGCCAGTCGAAATGGGCAACAAGGGTGTATGAAAGAGCTCAGTGTCTCATGGAGCATCACTTGATGTCCTACAAAGCATAGACACCTAGATGCTTGTCTCACTTGGTGTGTGTGTGTGTCTGTCACCAGGATACAGGAGAAAATTCCAGGGACCAAACGGAAGACGGAATAGGAGACCCTGCGGCCAGCAGCCGTGCCAGAGGCTGGATCTGTATCTTCTTTTGGTCAACATCATGGTGTTTGGGAAACTGCACATGTGTGCAGTGGGGGGGGGGGGCGTCTCTGATTACAGTAAACTCACTTCATCATGCCAAGCACTAAAAGTCTAGTGAGGAAAATAAAAGTTCAGACAAATGACGTGTTTTTTTGTATTGTTTATTAAGTGCATGACAATATTGACTTGTGTGTTATTTTCCCGCTACTCTGCACAGTGCTGGTGGATTTAAGCTGTAACGTGACGTAATTCGCTCAGCTGCAACGCTAAGCATCGCCTTTATCTAAACACATCCATATGTATAAATACCCCATAGACACATGGATTCATTTTTTTGGTGTTTTCCAGCACAAATCAAACACTTCTCTACTTATGAACTATGGTAATCGTAGGCTTTGTTTTTTTGTATTAAAATAAGGAACCAGACTGATGTTTTAGGTACTGCTGTTAAATTACACAAAAAACAGCAGGTGGTCACACTAGCTTGTTAAAAACCTGTCCACCTTTGTACCTTGTTTGATGTAGTTCTTCTTAGTCCTGGACTATTTGCACCTCTGTACTGTTAATGAATGCGAAAATAAATGTCCCTGAATGTAAATCTTTGTGTGTTGAGTGCACAACTTGTTGAAAGTGTGTCTGGAATTAAGGGTCCTTACTTTTCAGGCTGACAGAATGCTGGCACTCCTGAAGCATCAGCACTGTCATGGAGAGATTAATGCTGTGAAGCTCTGATACTCAGAATACAGGTAATGTCAGATACTTGGGTAAGCTACTGCTGTAGCCAGCAGTTTTGCCCTATGTCCACTATAAGACTATTGAAGAAGAGACCGCACTTTTTTTCACTTTTGTCACGTATGATCCACAGCATGAGGGACCTTGGACACAGAGTACCTGGGAGAGAAGCCAATATGTAGCTCACCCCAGCATGACTGGGCCCAGGTAACTGAACTCAAGCAAGAGAGAGACATGCATGCAAAGATTTAATGTTCTGCCAGACATAACTGCCCCCTGGTGGTACAAACGGGAACTGACCCGGGAAATAAAAACAAAACATCGTCAGAGAATAAATTTCTAGGCCTGGGACCAGGGAGTGGATTTTCAATAACAAACAGGCAACCTAAAACGACTCTTCTGGTACAGATCAGAGATTACAGCCACTTCACACATTGAGTAGTGGGGTAGGGTGCAGATGGAAGAGGGCACCTCTGGTGTCCCGGTCAGCCTTCTGTAGTGGCTCCATCTTCTGACTGGGGTCAATCTGTAACAAGCATTCTGCACTGTGGTTCAAGCCTGTAATGGGCTAAGAAGCTAAGAGCACCCAGCTCAGGCTGTACCGTCACTACCCAGTGTGACCCCGTGGTTGAACGTTGTTGAAAGAAGCACTGTGTAAATAATGTTCTACTGAAAATGTTCAAACCCTCTAAAAACAAGACGGGTTTAAGAAGAAAACCAGCTGACCTGAAGAAAAGGTTCTTTTCAGAATAAGAAACTTAAAATGAAGTTATAAAATATTAGGGTGATACCTTCATAATGCATTATAATGCATTCATAAAGTATATAAAATGCGGCTATTAGTATAACAAGGCATAACACATTATAGCCATGTTTATTATGCATTATGAATGCTCTATGAAGCTTTCATGTAAAATACACTATAGATACCTTCATAATGCATTATAATGGTCAGTATAAGTAAATATAATACATGATGAAGGTATTTGTAGTGCATTATAGATGAGCTTCATAGAGCATTCATAATGCATAATAAACATGGATACATTGTCATGCCTTTTTATAAAGTTATAGCCATGTTTATAATGCTTCATGAATACATTATAATGCATTAGGAAGGTATCTATAATGCATTACATGACTGCTTTGAGTTACCATTTTTTTTTCCTTTTTGTGACAACCAACCTGATTCCATGTCTTCAGCTTCTCAGAGTAGCAAGGCACAATGTCTTCTCTTGCGGGGAACTTTGTGAATAACCTGAACGAGAGAGGGAGCAAACTCCAGCTGCGGGATCAGCATTTCCCACCAACGGGCTTTGCGGCAGTCTGTGCCAGCACACTGGTTACATTTAATGTCAAAGCAGAAACCATTACATCTGACTACACACTTCACTGGACAGGATCATCATTCATACAGCAACCAGGGCTATTCAAATCATGGTCCTCAACGTCCGAGCACTGCTGGATTTTCCAGCCTTCCTTTACCTGTGAGCCAGGATGCAGCCTCTGTGTCCAATCAGAATCAGTAATTTAACTACCTGGGAGAACTGAGAACAAGGTCTGAATTTGGAATTGAGGGCCAGATTTGAAGAGCCCTGCAACACTTGAAAACCTTCTAGATGCAGAGTGGGGTAATTCCGGTCCAGAGAGTAAAAGACCAGACAGATTTTGTTTCAACCAACCAGTTGAGTACTCTGACTGTGACACTTTATGCTCAACTGGTTGGTTGAAACAAAATCTCGGTCTGATGTGTATACATCAGAACTGAGGGGACCCCTAGACATACCTGACGAGCCTATCGCGAACATCCTGCTGCAGCTCGCTGATCCGGTCCTGCCCCAGGTGGAGGGTTCCGGCTGGGCCCTCACAGACTAGACTGTTGATGGCCAATCGCAGAGCGTTGATCTGGGGGTGGGTGTAGCAGGGAGTTATGGGTAATATGCCAGAAGCGCTAGATGCTCAATCATTGCAAAATGAGTATTCGGAAAGCGGGCAGACATGCACACAGTCACGCTGTTACCTCGTTGATATCCTCCACGTCAAATCTGACATCAAAGTCCAACTCCATGTCGTGCTCTACCAGGACAGGTTCCTGGGTGTGCGAGTTCCATCCCAGTCCACAGAGGGCGCCAGTAAAACAGGTGCTGTCCTGATCCGTGCTGAGGGGAAAGTGTAAGCAGGTTCGGAAAAGAAAGGGAGGGGAGAAATATCGAGCTGGCGGGGTGGACCGAGTGGTAGTCCTGACCGTAGCTCCATGATGGGGCTGAACAGCATGCAGAGTATGGCCGGCAAACCGTGGATCCTGGGCATCAGGGTGGTCTCCTTCAGTAGGATGTTAGAGCCTAGACACAAACACTCATGAACCTAATGGATGTTGAGCTGCAATTCAGGGGGGAAAAAAAATCACTACGATAGGCAGGCGTGAAGGAGCGGCCTTCCTGAGCCAGCGCTCCCGCTCTTACTGGATGCACTGATAGACACCGCCCCAGCCACGAGGACCCTCTGGTGCTTGTCCTGAAGGCTCTCATTGACAGCCACGGAGTTAATGCTGTCCATGTCTATGGCTACAGATCTGAGAGAAACACAAATGCCAGTTAATGGTGAAGCAAGGGATCTCAGTCTCTAGGGTACGGTACCAGTACAGTCCTGTACTCTCACCTGTACTGTCTGACACTGTTCATGCAGTGGAAGCTCATCTTGTATGGACTAGATGGGCCATGGACTGGAACCTACCAGGAGGGAAAAAAAATAATAAATAAATACAGCTACTGTGTTAGACAGAGACGGTGTCACCTGCACTCTCACACACCTGACTTTTGGGTGCGGCCTGGCTACTCTTGGAGAAGGCCTCCAGCAGGCTCTCGATCAGTTCCTTCTGCTCCTTCTTGTGCATTGCCCAGGAGGTGCTGGAAGGATTGAACATGAAGGTGCCATTCTGGAGGTCATTGTAGAGAGACTGCAGCATCTCGTGGCTCTGCTGCAGGACACAAACGAGTGGAATAGGGTTCGTCTTGCATGGACCTCCACCAGACCCAGTTCTTTATTCTCACAAACAGGAGTGCCGTAGATGAGAGCGCAAATGGAACTCAGAGGGTTACTGATAATATGGTTTACCCTATTCACCCTGTTACTCTAATCTATATGATTAAGTAATTTATTGACATATGCTCTTGTCAAGTGCCTTGTGACTGTTGTGAAAGGCACTATTTAAAAAAGAACTGAAAAATGAATTTAATTATTTTTGTACTCATTGCACAACAATACGCTGCCAGAAGCTGTAATTAACGTTTCATTCTGCAGAGAATCGCACAGAAGCAGCATGTGATGATAAATTAAACATCCCTGATAGACACTGAAATATGGAATGAATCAAAAGCAAAACGCAGCTCTGCTCAGCAGTAATGTGACTCGAACCCGCTGCACAGCCTCCTGCAGGAGATGAGCGTCAAACTGTCGGGAGGCCAGCTGGAAAACAAGCCCCCCCAGCACACGGTACCTTGGACTGAAAGCTCTCCTCGACCTTGTAAGCGTGACCCTTCTCTATCATGATGTCAGCCACGCTGAGGCTCACGCCGTCCGTGTTGACGTGCAGGTGCACGCGCAGCACGCCGTGCACGACGGAGAAGAGCGAGGCCATCAGCGAGCGCCTGTTGACCAGCGTGATGAAGCAGTTCCGAGCTGCGCTGCTCCACTCGTTTCCCAGGATGAGGGACTGGGCAGACGGACACATGCCGACTATCTGGAACTCCTGGGCCTGGAGAGACGTACGGTTACGGTGATCGGGCACGGAGACGCGCCCACACGAGCAGGGCTTCCTGTACCTGGTAGGGTTGGGCCCACAGATCCGCAGGTAGCTCCCTCAGACTGCTAGCATCCATCTGGCTGGTGTTGCCGTAATCCACAAAGAAGACCTGAGACACACAGGGTGACCCCCTTAGCTCACAGCTCTGCATTCGCAGCCCTGCCCTCCCCGCCTGCGGCCGCCTCACCTCCACACTGCTACCGCTCACGTGCAGGACTCTGGCCCTGAAGTACAGAGGCTCCTCCTGGTCCTCGGCATACGGCGCCAGGCACAGCAAGTTGGGGCAGACGGACCCGGACAGGCGCTGGAGCTGCCTGCCGTTGATGTCCGCCGTCAGCACGCCCTGCTTCCTCATGCTGTCCTCATCCGCCTGGAATCCCCAGAAGTGGCCGACTTCCACGACCTTCATCAGGGCCACGTGGGAGAACACGGGGCATGAGGGAGCGGAGATCAACAACCGCAGCGGTCCTTTAAACATGGCAAACAGTCCTGCGCCGGATGCCCTGGAATTCCGATTTTAATTTCCTGTAGGGTGTGAATTTTTTGTGCACCTGTAATCCATCAACAGACTGTAAATTGTATAATATTGTTCGCTGCTAGAAGCACTATGGATGGATGCACAGTATACTGATAGGGGACCTTTTTAACTGTGCCTGTTTAACTGAGTGATGCTTGTCTGAGATACACCAGACCGTCTTCTCAGGGTGGGGACCATGTGCATTCTGTGGTACGTCCACAGAGGGTCTCGAGGACCCATGACACCAGGAGGTTTGCTCTCCCACCTCATTTTGCGATTTAATGCGTAAGGGAGCCAGTCTGAGCAGCAGTAATACCCGTGTCACCGGGATTCATTACCTCTGTGATGTTGACAATGAACATGGGCTGGGGGGGGAATTGTTCTGGGTCAAACACGCTGCTCGTGGGCTCGACGGTGTGGTTCTCCAAGTCCACGGTCACCCTAGCATAGGAGGGCAAGAATAAGAGAACTTTAATAAGGAATCTCTTTTTTGTAATTCTGTCTGATGCTCTGGGTGGACTGAAGTTCCCGTAAAGTGGAAGGACACCCCGGGAACACGGTGTCCTGCTTTACCTGAATGTGAAGCACTGTGCCAAACCTCTCTGCTCTTCAGGTGTACCACAAAAACACAGCATAACTAAACGCACAACTCCCCAAGTCAGTCTCAGGCGTACCGAGCATGGGCAATGTCCGAAAGGATCCTGCAGCCAGCCTTAGCTGCCACTGCATTGCTGGGATGCACCAACAGGTCCTTCGGGAGGCGCTGCTGAGCCATGAGGAGGGCCAGGGACACCTCGGGGAGAACTCCGGTCCCTCGGGCTGAGGTCTTGTAGAACTCCATGTATGCTCTTCACAGGGAAGACACAAACCTTGGTTTGTGAGTCTGAA